AACTCGTAACCATGTTTCACTGTTGTTTAGACCAGTGCTACTCAACCTTTTCCAATATCATTCACCCCTATAAGTTTTTCACAACAGCTCACTCATCCTACTTCGAAAACAGACAAAAAAGTACTAAATTAAAATGCCAAATTCTTTATTATGATATAAATATACATCAAACTACAACTAGAATAGATACAACATTAAATAAATGTATATATCAAACTACAACTAGAATAAATAATAATAACTAATGACTTTTTCTCTTGAATTTGTTGTATAATTATAATACTCATTCATCCCATAATTCTCATTCACCCTGATTCTGATCTCATTAATCCCTTGGTGAACCATTCACCCAGTTGAGAAGCACCTGCTTAGGTGGTCTAACTTACACTTCTCTTGATCAGCCTTCGAAAAAGCTCATTATTTGTTCAGCCAGCTCATACTGAACATACTATCTCGTGCGTTCTTCCTATTTTGTGATCCTTTGTAAAGGTTAAACGTTTCACTATGTTTACATGTGAACTATTAGGGTTTTGTTTGCTGCATATTTTCCATGTAAACCACTTTTTCCAAACCGATTCTAACACATGCGTATCCTGTTTTTTTTCCGTATTTATTTATGAGGATGTTTTGAATATGTTTGTTGTTGAAATGCATCGAATAACATCTTTCCATTAGGATGTTTTCTTCGACGTCTCTTTCTCTCATTAAACCTTAAATTTCCACTTGCAGCAAAACGTTGCAACGTCACCCTTTAAACAATAAGTTTTTAAATTGTACATTGTGATATTTCTTTATAATACCTAATGAAAACATTTGTCCTCATTTTCACTGATTATATCTAAGTTATTTTTCTCATTTGTAGCTTTATTGAAACTGCAAAACATTTGATCGATGATTGCACTCACTACATGTATCTCAGTTGAAACAAGAGTGCTGATGATTTGAAACAAGTGGGAAAATAATGTGTCATCATGAAAACATGTAGGGATGAACCAAACCCATTCAATTCACTTCAAAGGTGTACAGTAATTGATGTTCAGTTATTGCGGGACACTATTTATAAAATGAATCATTGCTTTTATTGTAATTACAAAACAATACGTGGGTATAACACAGAAGTACATAGCAAGTAAAAAAAAGTTAGTATTTTACCAAGAAAGAGAGTTTTCAGTTATTGCAGAGTTTTATAGGGAAATACGTTTTTCTCTTAATGAACTCAGTTTATGACCAGTACTAACAAATATCATAGCCTTGTAAAACTACTTCGTTGTTTCAGAGGAAGTTTAAAAATAATTTGGGATGCAATTTTTAAGTAAAGAAACTACGTCTCTTTATTGATTTAGTGATGCGAGGTGTATAGGTGTGTGTTTTTTTCTTGTTGGACTCCATGGCCATGTGGTTGGGGCGCTTGACTTGCAATCTCAGTGTCGCGGGTTCGAATCCCCGTCCACCAAATATGCTGACCCTTTCAACCGTGAGGACGTTATAATGTGACGGTCAATCCCACTATT